GGACAACTAAAAATATATAGAAAAAAATTAGCCGGGCATGGTGGCGCATGCCTGTAGTCCCAGCTACTCGGGAGGCTGAGGCAGGAGGATCACTTGCGCCCAGGAATTTGAGGTTGCTATGAGCTAGGATGATGCCACGGCACTCTAGCCCGGGCAACACAGTGAGACTATGTCTCCAAAAAAAAAAAAAAAAAACCCTACAAGTATAGATTTTCTTTCATTTCTTAATAAGGTGATATTGTTTCGTAGTAAGAGTCTGAATTTGAAAAGGCTAAAAATTCATGCCAAGTAGTTGATAAAGACATAATAGTATATTTTCCTGGAATGGTCCAAGTGTTAATGTTCTTCCTTATTTATTTCTTATATTAATGTATAGTTAAATCAGGAGTGTTCAAAGAGTTTCCGCATTGTATGGTGAGAAGTGATGAAACTCATTATATAATGCCCATTGACCAAAGATTATTTGGATCTGAGATCCATTAACTGTTCCAAGAATAAGAAAATAAACTGGACTTGGAACTAGTAAAATGAATTAATATTTAATCATTTAATTAACATATTTTCATGATTCTCATTCTTGTGAAAACGCAACTTAAAAATGAAATGTTAAGGTTTACAGGCTCCAAGTTAATCTCTGGAAATACACAAAGCACTAACATACATTATTTCCATGTTCAAGGAAAAGCTACCATTTATTAAGTAGTAAGAAGTTTGCTCTGAGACATTTACTCAATAAAGGGGTAAATTACTTTGCCGATATTTTTCTACTTATGAGAAAAGGATTATAATAAAGTTTTCTTTTTATGCTTTTCTTTTCCCTCCCTCCTCACCTCTCTTTTATCTGATGCTTAAGTTCTTGTTAAGTTTCTGTTTAGTAATTGCATTTTGTAATTTTTTTAAAACTTTAAAAAGAAGTTTGAATTGTTATTTTCTCACAATGTTGAGAATTCCACTAGAGATCAAGGATACTAATTTTCAAATTTGATAATTGTGTAACACCTTTAAAACAAAATCCTATTGCATCTTTGTTGTATAAACTCCATTAAAAACAGTTGCTTTGAAAAAACAGGTAGTGGGGAGGCTCAAGTTTGACATTAGTCGTTCTCTCTGCTGTAATTCCTGGGTACCCACCGTGAAAGCTAGTATGAAATTTACTGAAGTATTTGCTATAATGCTTTCAAAATGAACGCAATTATAATTCACCAATTTCACTGGCTAATTACATAGAAATCCACAAGCATTGCCAATAAACTTGGGTTTCATTTTTCAACTGAGGCTTACTGCTGCTGGCCAACATTCCTGAACCCAGATCTAACCAGCTTTCCATCTTTACTGCCTATTTCTTTTTTTTTTTTTATTTCAGCATATTATGGGGGTACAGATGTTTAGGTTATGTATGTTGCCCTTGCCCCCGCCAAGTCCGAGTTTCAAGTATGTCCATCCCTCGGATGGTGTGCATTGCACTCTTTGTGTATGCATATACCCATCCCATCCTCCCCCCTCCCTCCTGCCCAACATCCAATAGATGTTATTCCTGTATGTACACTTATGTGTTGCTCTTTACTGCCTCTTTCAATAGGGATCTTCTAGTCAGTGTAAGAAAAGCACCCTGCTTTGTAGCTACTTTGGCAATGGATACATGAGGTCTAAAATGAATGTGAATATAATAAACATTTCCTAGTAAAAGAATTAATAAAGATAAAAGGGGAAAAACTCAAACACCCAGAAATATTTAATATGTTTTAATGTTTCTGTACCACTGTCAAACATAGTGTCAACCCTTTGCACATGTAATATGCATATTTAACTATGAAATATATGAGTGATAACACCAATGCATTATCCTGGGAAACAAACTAAACCATATTAATTATTGGTTAAAATAAGTGTGCTTTTTCTCCCATTTATAAGTTCACCAAATTGTGTTTCCTTGAATATTAGATTCATAACCTGTTTTAGAACATTAGTTCATTTAATTAAGTTCTTATCTGACAGCTGTGTGAATGGTTCAATCATACTCAAACTTATATAATTCCAATTAGTATTTATATCATGAACAGCAAAGGAAAATAATAGTGACCACAGATACAACACTTAAGGTGGTGTATGTCTGACAGCGTATTGGGGAAAGCGATTATAAAATACATGTTTTAACATTCAGATTTTGAAATTTAGAGACTGTGTGCAAAATGTTAATAGTAAGTTTTGCTAAGTAGTAGCATTATGAGTGACTTTTTTTTCTTTTCAAATTTTCAAATGTTCTATGAAAAATGTGTCAGTTTTCTTTTATAAAAAAGACAACAAAATACAAACATTCCTTAAAATTAGATATATTCAAAACCTGACCCCTCCAGGGATTGTATGAAGATGTCCAAGTGGCCCATAGAGATGAAAGTTTCAAAGTTGCTTTGGTGAGTGAAACAACAACAGCAACAACAAAAATTTGAAAGTGTTGAAATCACTTCTAAATGCTGGCTCTACTCCTTCAATACCACTTTTAAGCTTTGAGTTCA